TGATATTGCTCCATTGAGAGTGGTTTTCTTGGATGCTCCTAAAGAACAACATCCATCAGATAGCTGGGCTCGTAGTAATCCCCCAAGTTGGTGAAGAAGGCGCGGAAGTGATTGCTTCAAACAAGTCACAACTTGGGCAAGACGGTGAGTTAGTCGCCGCATAAGTTTCGTGCTCATCCGACGTCGAACCCGCAATGATGAATGTGAAGTACGCTCGTAGACTGCGCTGTATTGAAGACGATTTTGTGGTGAGTATTAGCAGACAAGATTCACAAGGTGCATCAGCTGCAGTGTGAGGAAAGCAACAAGCAGCTTTCTCTTGCTGGGCTCCTCTGGAAGTAAAATTGTCTACTTGGACTTGTTAAAACTATTCTCTATTTTTTTCTGCACACCTTCGCATGTGCATATGTCTTCCTTCTGTGCCCATGGCTAACCCGCATTACCTAACACTTTTCTCCTATCGTCAATTGCTAAAATCGTGATTTGTACATTAGATAATGCGTGAAAGATGAGCTTATTTTTGTGATTCATTCAAAATATCCTGAGCTGTTTCTGAAAAATAACGGTACGGTGTGGTTTTATAGGCCTGTTTGTCCTTACATAGCGTCTGGCAAGCCTGTGAAAATAATTTGTCAAACATGAGATTTTGCATAAAATAAAAATCAATTGATAACCGTGGCTATTTGCTTTACCGCCGTGGCGGTCCACATGAGAAACTATGGATTTTCATTGACAATATCATCTTATACCTAAAGTTGCATCCCCAATTTTTTTGATTCGTCGATTCAAAATTTCTCAATTCAGACTGAAATGCTAGCTAGAATATTTCATCGCCCTGATGGATGTGTGGGTTCCGTTCTCCTTGCATCCACGACAGCGATAGACAATGTCGTTCTTTGTTAGCGGTTTTAAAAGTTATAGCAACTTTAAGATGAGGATTCTCAAACATGAAAATACTGGTCCATTCCTGCCATGCTTTTCGCCTCTGTATATTGGCTGAGCTTGCGAGTTTCGCTTTCATTTACAGAGATCTGTATTAAGATGTTGGCTGACACCTGCAAATTGTTATAAAAAACCTTTTGGTCGCTGATTATTCTAAGCCTACCTCAAAAGTCTGCAACGTGTCCGTTTGGATGGTATGTGGAGCGTCATCCTTTCAACAAAGTTTAAGATACCAACTTATGTGATTGAAAGCCACGGCAAAATTTCCCGCATCAGCGGACGCACCTTCTTTCACTTGTAGGCAATTGAAATTCATTCGCCAGCCTACATCCGCGCCGAACGATTAATATGATCCCGCTATCGACTGGCTGCTTGCCTCCTAGAACCTTACCTTACCAACGATGTTTCACGTCACTCGTCCGCTTATTCGTCTACCACAGTGGTCAAGGATACGCCAATTTACCCATTGGGACCAGACAAAGGAAAAGGAAGTTGAAGTCTGATGAGACGCCTACGAAGTCGCCGATTTCTACACCGCCGCGAATGAGTTGATAGAAACGACCTCCACTTTATGCCAAGGCAATCTGGTGTGATTTATCGACAGTCAGAGAGTAGTGTAAGAAATGATGAAGAGTAACCGTGGGTCAATGGAGAATGTTAAACCGTCGAAAAAAGTCGTTCCTCTTAGAGCAGAAAGTAGTCGATTGAAGGCATCTTTTGTTTAAACTGCGCCTGTATCGATCGACACGGTTGTGAAAGATAGTCAAACAAAGGACAATGGAAAAAGATGATCTTTGGCTTTTACTGGACTTCCTGAGGCCACGAAAATTTGAACAACTTTAGATCCAGGCACGATACTATTGCATAGGTCAAAATTTTGACTTTTGGATATTGGCTGTTTTCCCGTTATGAGGTACTGCATTGGCAAGCCCGCTTATTCACATGATCATCAAGTATTACCGTCTTCCTTTTTTGTCAGATTAGCGCTAAGACGTGCTTCTTCAAATGAATTCCCGTATCAAAAGCAATCTGTATAGGCCATCCATGTCGAGTGGAAAATTTAGACTTGAGAAGAGCTTAAGGCATAATGTTAATGCCGATCGTACCATTGTCAGTGTTTCTAGTCAAGATCAAAGCCGTATAGTTGTGTCGATAAACAACACCCCCCCCCCCCCCCCACATACGCAGATGGTAGATTCACAGCGGTTAGAACCTCGTTGGAAAATTGAGAGTTTTCTTTTATTTCTTTCAAACATTAGATAGCTGCAGAAGAATATAAACAGCCCAGATTTCTTTTCTGTTCATTTACAAACAACCGACTTACAGAGACTTGGTTTGTAGTGACCGCGATATCAGTAATGCATCGCTTTTGATGATCTTCGCTCTACTTACGAAGTAACCGGTGTGACCGTACATATAAAAAAGGGCAGGCATTGTATTGATAACAAGGTCGCTATATCCACTAGTTTTCAGTAAATCGGTCTAGTATGGCTCTGAGTTTATGTGTTGCCATATTAACAGAAGAAAGTTCATTTAGTGCTAATCAAGAGAACACTTTCCAGCCCAAACAGTAGGGGACTCCAGTTTGCCTGGTATCAGCCGTAACACACTCTGCGGCAAAAAATGTTTAGAAATGTGCATTAGTCACCAGCTTATCTAAAAAGTATAGTATACTTTGGTAAGAAAATTGTACACTGAATTTGGTTTTTACCAGTGACTAAAGTTTGATAACTACAGATCCTTAGTATCGGTGAGGCCCAAAATAATTATATTTCAAGAAGGGCTATACAAAAACCGGCATGGCTGGCGCAGTAGAGTATTTAGAGATGTCTGATTGATGCGGCTTCTTAGAAACTGCTATTACATAAAATCTATGAGCTATCTTATTCGTGCACCATACCATCAATCTTTTTGTGTCTATGAAAAAGGTACTCTCACGCACTTGTACCATGCACATCACACAGAGAGGCTTTCCCAACATGTCTATGGCTTGGTTCAAGGCCAGGAGTATCGATAAGCAAAGAAATCTGGCTCATTTCAAAGCAGTCAGTTTCGGGCTAGAGAAAAGGCTAAGGGTTACAACGCTTACCTAGAGAGAAAGTTAGCTGGTTCGGGAAACAAGTCATCTCTTTAGGCGTCGCGAATTTCGAACTCGGACATATGTTTCGGGTATAACGCAAGCGCTTCGATAGCGTGGTCCCTCCGCGTCTGTGTTAGATGGACGCTGCGACGAATCGCGGACCATTTTTGGGGTATACTCTCAGCAGGGAAATCGTTGCGACTTCGCTGAAACTCAGCGATGTCGCCCTAGTTCCGATCCAGCGATAGGCGAGTCGCTCAGATAGCTTCTTTTTTGCGAGTTGTTTTGTATTTCTTTGCAAATGCGAATCTCATTTAGTACTATCATCTCAGACAAGCTCTTCTTCTCTGCATGAGAGAAGGTAGGTCATCTAACATTCCATGCTATAAATCCTTGAAAACAACACACGCGAAGTATATAGTATGGAATGCTTCCCATATTGTTCCGAATTAGCGTGATAAGAGATTCTTTGGTGTGATAGAAGAGGTTGTGGTTAGGACTTTATTGAGTCGATGGGAAGAAAACTTATCGCATTAGATGATACGCTCTTTAGTACGTATATGATCAGCGAGAGATGTGAAGTTAAAAGTGCCAAGAGCGCTTTACCAAAAATGTTTATGCTATCCTTAAGTGATTTCAAAGCATGAAACGGTCTGCTAGTTACTCTCCAATACATTAAGGAGCACTTAATATGTAAATAAGAACTGATGACACATTTGCGGTTCATTTCTATAAAAAGAGCGGTCTACTTAAGTTTTCAAAATGTACAGCTTTGAAGCGCATGTAAAGAGCACTAAACAGTTTTAAGAGATTGGCTGATAATTTGTGGAATCACAAACACTGCGGACAAGAAAAATGAAAGTGATATTCCAAAAATGTGAATTACATTGGTAGTTAAGTTAGTAGGCGATAAAAATGGCATAGATACTGTACAAGATGATGATGAAAATACAATTATTGTGAAGATAAGTTAAGGGATACAAGTTGCTTCTTCTGGTAGAAAAAGTGGTCAATAATGAAGGTGGTGTTGACAAGTCAGTTTCTCCTTTCGTAGTTGAACAGAGCATGTCTTAGAGTACGTTGAGTGGTGTGTCCAATATTGTCCAGGGAATTATGTTCGTTCTCAGGGATTCGCGCCGTGCAGGCGGTCCTCATTAAAGCTCCTCCGCCTGAGCGCACTGCATAGTTTTTGATGTACCGTGCGTGCGGTCAACAATAAAAATGCCGTGCAAGCGGAAGACAGTCTACCCGTTCGATCGGCACGCAATAAAATCGACCGTGCAAGCGGCAGGCAATGCGTCCGCACGATCGGCCAGCAATCACTTGATCGTACAAGCGGCAGGCAATCTCGCCGCGCAATCGGTACGCAATAAAACCGACCGTGCAAGCGGCAGGCAATGTTTTTTGTAATTCTACAAAATACTTTTTCTCTGATACCGTAACAACACGTAGCCTGCTTACGTATTCCACATAGTGAAACAGTCCCCCACGCAGATGTTCGCAGAAGTCATTATGTATTCCATCCGCGAGAATAACGCGCATTGGTTTAATTTTACCGTACTTGCACAGTTTTGTGCGTTAGTTATGAATCATTTAGCCTAATTTCGCTTTCTTTGAATTCTGTATTATACTTCAATCATTAATTCCTCAGCAACCATCCCTCGCATTAACGTAGACATTGTCCATATAAAAAGACCCCTTTTACCATGTATTTTGGGCTTTTTCCTACGAAATAAATCTTTATCGTTACCTCGTCACCTCACATCCGAAGGACCTGGTCTCCAAACAGTGGCGACCACGGCAGGATCCCTCTACACGACTGAGAAGCCACCCATACACCTTGACGGCTTCACGACTGAGAAGCAACCCACGCACCTTGACGGCTTCACGACTGAGAAGCAACCCACGCACCTTGATCGAAACAAGCCAACCTTTAGAGAAGAAGCAACCAAACGCACGTTTTCTCTAAACTGCAGCAATGTCTAATAGCAGTGCCAATATCCGACGACAGATAGGCTTCTTCAAGAAGCAATTGCAAAAATTCTGTTCTGAGGCAACCGATTCACTGAGGGAATATGATATTTCACCAACTGCTCCACGACTCGAGGTTCTTGACGATGATGCAATCGAAACCTTCCGCCTGGAACTCACCACCATCCGTTCCAACCTGCTCAAGAACTATGCCAAAATCACAAAACTGGACGAGGAATGGAATACACTCCAACAAGCCAACCCCGAAGAACAGCAGGTACTAGCTGAATACATCAAAAAATATGGAGATTATCATGACAGTATCGCTGATGCCGTAAAACAACTGGAAGTGCTTGACGTTCTTTTGAATTCTATTGATCAAGAGTTTGCACGCCGTCGTCTGCCTGCTTCCTCTATTTCGTCTGAAACTCATACTCCAGATGAGGACCAACTTTGGAATCGCGGTACGCTCCATACTTCTACCATCCCTCAAATCTCGGATGCATCTCTATTGAACTTTGTCGACGCCTCCATTCTATCCAAGCTCGAGCTGCCCACCTTTGATGGAAACCTTCTCGATTACCCAGAATTTCAGTCTAGATTCGCTACCTTAGTGGGAAACAAACTCCAGCTGGATGACACCACCAAGTTTTCTCTCCTGAAATCATGTTTGCGAGGCAAAGCACTGCACGTCATCCAGGGTTTATCCATAACTCCTGCCAATTACAAGGTGGCAATGGATATCCTTCGCACACACTTTGACGATAAAGTCACCTTAAAACACATTCTGTACACAAAGCTAGCCTCACTTCCAGCCTGCGATCTCGAGGGCAAAAATCTTCTCTCTCTTTATAACCAGATGTACTCGCTTGTTCGACAGTTCTGCAATGGCACCGATGATTCAAGCGAAAAGGCCCTCGGAGCCCTCCTCCTGAATAAGCTCCCTCCCCACGTCAGAAGTCAAATTTACGACCGGACTCAACACGATCACAATGTTTCTCCCACGGAGCTCCTGCACCTACTCACGAACATAGTACGCAAAGAATCCACGCTTTCTGAAATGAATTTTTACTCGAAGCAACAACATCCAAGCTTTCATCAAGGAGCGTATGTAGCCAATAAGCAGTCTCAATCCACTCGTCTCAAACCCACTGGCACAAGGCATCCGCAAAATTGTTCATTTTGCAACTCTAGCAATCACTCGTCTCTGAACTGCCCGAAATACGCTACCCCTCGACAACGTTCTGAAGAAGCACGAAAACGGCGGCTCTGTTATAATTGTCTTTCTCCTCATCACAACACGAGAGATTGTCCGTCAAAATTTCGTTGCAGGATATGCGCGAGGAAACACCATACTTCACTTTGCACATCCTCAAGGTCACAATCCCCTTCCCGTCCAACACAACCCACTTCGCGTCAAGACACCCATCGCGGGAGAAAAGAGTATACTCGACATTCAATTCCTCCTCCAGAAATTCAACATGGCAAGCCATATTCTCCTAACACTTCTCCATCAAGACGTCATAATCGCACTGTCCACTTCGACCTCGCTCACTCTGCAATCATTGACAATCAACCATCGTCAGAAACAGAACAATCGGTACCCACAATTTCCTCAGAAGACACTTTAACCAACGTCACCTTTATGTCGAATGAAACCTCCAACCGACCAATCCCCTTGATGTGTGCTGAAGTCAAGCTGTTCAATCCCGATGATTCATCGCATCATGTAACCGTAACCGCCTTTCTTGATTCTGGTTCTAGCATTTCCTATATCACGGATGAACTGGCGACTATTCTTGATCTACCTGATGTCACAACCGAGACAGTTACTGTTTCGACCTTTGGAGAAAGGACGCCACGAAGAATGAAATGCTCGGTTTACAGAGTGGGGATAGAAACCGAGAATGGTGCCAAATGTTTGACGGTGAAATCTACTCCCTTCGTGGTTGGAGATGTAGCACAAATTGCACCCGACAGCGACTTATCCGTAAGCTCTTGTAACCCATCGATACTGATTGGAAATGATTACTTTTGGGACCTCATACTCTCACACAATTTCTACTACAAGAACTTGTCCGAAGGGCATCGCCTCCTTCACACTACGATCGGCGACATCATCCTGAACAAAGCCCTCGATACGAGATACAACAATTGTAGCCTCGTCGCTGTCGAAAATAATGATATGGCAAATCCGGCACACCACAACGACTTATGTGAAATGGTCAGTCGATTTTGGAAACTCGAATCGATAGGGATACTGGATAACCCAAATCAATGTGAAGATACAGAGTGCCTTGATTATTTCAACAACACCATATACTATGATCGTAAAGAGAAACGTTATGTCGTCTCACTACCTTTCAAAGAGGATCCAGCAAACGTCCCAGACAACTACTCACTAGCGTATTCCCGCCTTCGCAGTCAACTGAAGCAGTTACAGCAAAATCCATCATACTTGAAGATGTACCATGCAGTGATTCAGGACCAACTGCGAAGAAATATTATTGAATATGTACCAAACGATGAACTTTACAGGCCATGTCATTATCTATCTCATCATGGCGTTGTAAAGAGGGACGACAAAGGCCTGAAAATTCGTTGTGTATACGATGGCTCCGCGAAAATGAAGGGCCATTTGAGCCTAAACGAAGCCTTGTACAGGGGACCAGTTCTCCTTCCTGATCTCGTCGGTATCCTTATCCGGAGCAGGTTGTGCAAGTATCTTATTTCTAGCGACATAGAAAAAGCATTTCTTATGGTTGGTCTAAACCGTAATTCTCGAGATTACACCCGATTTTTATGGTTGGACGATCCGACTGCATCACTCTGCCCCGAAAATATAGTCACGTATCGCTTTACGCGTGTTCCTTTCGGGCTAGTAAGCTCTCCGTTCTTGCTGGCCGGCACTATACATTTCCATCTCGCATCAACGGCAACTGATTTATCTCGTCATTTAATTCGGAACACCTACGTCGATAACGTATTCTATGGCGCCAAAAACATCGATGATGGAATTCTTTTTTACAGAAAGACCAAAGAAATCTTCAGACTAGCTGGCATGAACTTACGAGCCTTCGCCAGTAATGCAGAAAAACTGAACGAGTATTTCGGAATGAGAGAGACAGAAGCCATTCGCAACGTGCAGAAGCTCCTAGGTTTGAAATGGGATATCATCAATGACAACCTTATCCTACCACTCCCAGAAAGAACCTCCAACAAAGATCCTTGGACGAAAAGGAAAGTTCTGAAACACATCGCTAGTATCTACGACCCTCTTGGCCTACTCTCTCCCTCAACGCTCCCCGGTAAGATCTTCCTTCAATCTCTATGGAAAGAGAAACTTTTATGGGATGAAACATTACCTTTAGAAAAGGAAGCGCAGTGGCAAGAAATCATTTCAGCATGGACGACCTCAGAGTTATCAATACCCAGACTCATCATAGACTGTGGAGAAGAAATCTCCTATGAGTACGATCTTCACGTATTCGCCGACGCATCCTCTGCCGCCTATTGTGCCGTGGCTTACATTGTGCAAAAGGCAAATGATAAACCAATCAGAGCTTCCTTGGTGATGTCCAAGAGTCGATTAGCGCCACTCAGCCACTCCATGACTATTCCACGTTTGGAAATCACTGCTCTGATGATGGGATCGAAACTGCTCACGTATGTCACGAAAGAACTCGACATGCAAATCTCAAAAAAGTTCTTGTGGACTGACAGCCTTGTAGCACTATATTGGACCAAGAACAACAAGAACCTACCCATTTTTGTCAAAAATCGAGTCAACGTGATACTGTCTAATACCTCTGACGTATACTTATTGCACGTGCCCAGCGAACAAAATCCCGCGGATTTGGGGACCCGAGGATGTTTGCCCCAAGAACTCATGAAAAATCAAACATGGTGGCACGGACCAACCTTTCTTCTGGAAGACGAGAACACATGGCCAGGAAATGCACGCAGCGAGTTGCAGGAAGTATGTTCTGACCTTCATCAAGGAAAGCTGATACCACAAGTACACTATGTAGTGTCGACTACCCAAGTATCCAAGAACAAAAGACTCAAGAACGCTTCAGAAGTCACAAGTAATTCTTTGCTAAACGTGAATCGCTTTAGTTCCTGGACCCGCTTACTCATGACAACGATGTTCGTACTCAAGTTCATCACAACGGAGTCTAAAAAAGCTGCAGATTGGTTTGGTAGTGGTAAGGTCGCACTACTACAAAAGGGCGAAATCATCCTATTTCGCTTTGCCCAGTCTTTACATCCCCCTTCCGATGAGGACAAAAACCGGCTTCATCTCTTCGTCTGCGAAAGGACTCATTTATGGAAATGTCAGGGACGTATCGAACATGCAAAGTTGCCACCAGAAACAATCACACCAATCTTCCTCCCACGTGAAAGTCGTGTCACGATGTTGTTTGTACTGCACGTCCATCAAACTCACAACCACTGTGGAGTGAATCATACACTCACACTTCTCAGAGAACGAGTATGGATCCCTAAAGGACGTACGACTGTAAAAAAGATTCTCTATAACGAGTGTTTTCATTGCAAGAAAATCAGATCAAAGCCTTATGCTCTTCCACCCTTTCCGCCACATCCAGAACGAAGAGTAAATCCACCACAATACCCATTCGAAAACGTCGGAATGGACTTTTTTGGTCCCATGCAGTACAGACACGACGAGGGCCTTGTCGGAAAATACTGGATGCTACTGTTCACGTGCCTAAACTGTAGAGCAATATATGTGGATGTAGTACTTGATATGACAACGACCACTGTTCTACATGTGCTGAGACGATTCATCGCGACCTACGGCTGCCCGAGATGGATCCTATGTGATAATGCACAGTCTTTTAAGACCATCAATCAGTGTTACTCCTCTCTAGCGGTGCCCAACGTTGACGAGGATATAATCGACTACTGTGCTAACAACCGGATCCAGATGAAATTCATACCAAGTCTTAGTCCTTGGCAAGGAGGAATCTACGAGAAAATGATAGATATTTTCAAAAAGTCATACAAACATGCTATTGCTAATCGCATTCTCGACATAGACGAAGTACGGACCGTGGCCAAAGAGGCCGAAGCGATCGTCAACACCCGACCACTCACATACTATAGCGACGAGATTTCCTTCAGACCTTTGCGCCCTATTGACTTCATCCGTCCTCACGCCCGACTTTCCAGCCTTTACCCGACCGATTGCCAAGATCAATGGTCACCAATTCACGCTACCAGGGACACTCTAATGGCTGACTGGAATCGAACCTCCAACCTGACTTCCACATTTTGGACAAGATGGAGCACTGAATATCTTACAACAATGCGCGAACAATATAAAAGTGAACATACAGCTCCCAGATCACATGAAAAGGATCCTCCAAGACTTGGAGATCTTGTATTGATTCACGATTCAACCTTGGACCGCGGACAATGGAAAATGGGAAAAATAGTGGGCTCACAAGACGAATATCAACGATCAGTTCAGATTCAACTTCCTTCTCAGCGAATCGTCACTCGCCCGAATTCTTTAATTCATAAACTAGAGATTCCGCCTAGTGAGAAAGAAACACCACTTATCGACAATACGAGAGCCTCATCTTCCAAAGGAACACCTCAACAACCTCATCACCCTATGATAACCCGATCGAAGGCACGAGCACAGGTGAATCTTCCACTCCTTCTTTGCCTCGTGTCGGTTATCGGAACAGCATTTGCCTCCTCTGTCGAGTGCCCAAAGGAGTTCATAACTTCCAAAACTATTCTGTACGCCACCACCTGTAAATCTAACGGAATCGCCGTAGCAAAGTACAAGGAGGATTTTTGCTACTTCCCAGTTTCATGTCCGTTTGGACACATCCGTTTCGAAATACTGTTTGCCAAGGAACCTTACTCCCCGTCATCATTGTGTGGAGCAAGATGTCAGTGTCCCGAATGGGCAACATCGTGCTCATTCCACAATGGATCCATCACAGCAAGATCCGAATTACGTCTGATACCAGAAAAACTTCTTCATTATCAACCAAGTTTTGTTTGTTCCTTTGAACCGGATAAGAACTGCGACTCGGTCAAACAGCTCGGAACATTCAATCAAATCCAACTATTCGACGACAACACCCTTCTAGTTGAGAACCTTACAGTCATTATGAAAGACTATGTGACTCAAGGTGATCTTCTCTGCATCGATCGTAAGGGATGGAAAAGACTTGCTGGTAGTGACTTTACTGGATCTTCATGGTTTTGCAAAAGACATCAATGTCGAGAACCAGCAAGTGTATTCTGCCTGTATGACAACCCAATCGCACTCTTCATTGTCAATGGCTCAACCGAACATGACGCAATACCACTCAAAGCTTGGGGCACCATTACAAAACCTTATTATGGTTTTCCTTCTACTACAAGACCACCAGTTTCTCAAGAATCTCGAAACCTCAATGAAGAACCTGAAAAGCAAACAATCATTTCGGCAACATGTTCCAAAGGCGGAATAACTTTATCAAAAGGCAACAACGTGGAGATGATAGAAGCCTGTATCGACCAGTACTGTATCTTCCGAGAGAACGCATACTCCTCCCAAATACCCTTTCCAAACTCGCTTATCATGTATGACTACAAAGTCATCATTAAAGCATGGTCCCCAGAAAACATAGCTGAAGAAATACAGATCTTCTGTCCAGCACAACCAATATGCGAAACGATGCAGTGCATACTTTGCTGGGAACGACTCTACAATACTCAATGCTGGACTTACCTGCAAATAATCTTGTTTGCAATACTCCTTCTAATCCTTCCCGTCTGGATCTGTATCATTTACAGAATCATACGCTTACTACTGCGGTTGATCAGAGCCATCCTATCCAGCCTCTGCTTCGCAAACAAGTCCTACCTCTTCAGCAGATCCCGCAGGACACCGACGTATACCAACCGCAGGAGGAAAATGTACAAATACAATCTACTCCTTTGTCTCGGTCTAGTACATTCGCAGATTCAGCAAAGCTGCTGCTGCTCTCAAGTTGTCTCAATTACAGCGAGCGAAAACACCTGTATTTCCACCGAAACGGGAGAACTATGCACCTTCAACGAAGCCACTCTAATCACACTCCAACCACTCCAGCAAGAATCATGCCTTGTGATCAAGGACCATCGCGACAGCGCCATCGGACTTCTGTCTGTGAAGATTCATGGCATAGACTTTCGCTGTCAGAAAGTCATTGATTTCTACACCCGCGACCATCAACTACTCACAGAATCTGTTCATCGATGTTACCTAGCAGGAAGCTGCGTTGAGAACGCTTGTGAAACTACAGCACACAACACTAAAGTGAAAGAAATCTCTGAACTAGCTAATCAAAGACCCGGTTATACTTTCTGCGCCGCAAGCTGTGGTTGTATTGCATGTGATGGATGCTTCATGTGTCAACCTAGCTGTCTCTTCTATCGTATCTATGCGAATCCAACAACCTCTAAGATCTACAAGGTATTCAAATGTCCAAGCTGGGAAACAGCTGTCAACATCGAGCTGACATTAGAACAAGCCAACAAATCCTTCTCTACCACACTTCTATTACGCACAGGACAGACACTCCATTGGGAAAACCTGAAGTTCACCCTCGCAGGAACCACGGTACCACAACTACCTATTCTCTCGGCAACCTTCATGGAATCCGATGGAAAAATATCACTTATCCAACCCACCTTCAGAGGCATTCTTACTCCTAAAAGCGGTGGACAGCTACAGTGCTCGTCGTACCAAAAGGCAAAAAACTTTCAGTGTTCATTTTCCACGAAAGCTTGCTCATGTACTACCGCACTCAAGAGAGCGTCTTGTGTATGTAGCTCTGGGAACATGAACAAACTGATGCAAGTTTCCCCTCTCCCACAAATCTCAAAAACCTTCATGATCTTCTCAAAAGACAAAACTGTCTATGCAAAATCCGGCATCGGATCTGCTTTACAATTGCACGTTGTGGCGGATAAATTGAAAATCACAACCCGTCAAACCAATGCTTCTTGTGAAACCGTGGCCAGCGACGTCAAAGGATGCTACAATTGTATGTCCGGTGCGGAGGTAACCTTCTTTTGCAAAAGTAGCTCTGGAAGCACTTTAGCAAACATCATCTGCTCGGAAGAGAACCAAGTGGCTCAATGCACAACCAAAGGGCACTCCAATAAATTGCATTTCCACTTCAACACGTCTTCGATCCTCACAGAATGCAAGATCTCGTGTCCAGCAAATGTACAAACAATCACTATCAAAGGTGTTCTTCAGTACATCGAAGAAAAAACACTGGAAGAAGACTCAGTGGTAGAAGCAATAACAAATGATACGCCACGACATGTACCATTCCTGACGACCTTGACTCAGACTATTGAGAAGGCCTGGCAAATTGTAACCACTATCCCTTCTTACCTATTCAGAATCTTAGTCATGTTTGTAACTCTCCTCTTTCTCTTATATTTCTTCTATAGTGGCCTTATAAGATCTCGACAGGATTATCTCTATCGCTTCAATCAGAAGAGACGTTGAACTACTGTTTAATCTATTGTACATATCTGTCTCTCTTTTCTTTTGTTTCCTCGGGAGTTTTTGTAATTCTACAAAATACTTTTTCTCTGATACCGTAACAACACGTAGCCTGCTTACGTATTCCACATAGTGAAACAGTCCCCCACGCAGATGTTCGCAGAAGTCATTATGTATTCCATCCGCGAGAATAACGCGCATTGGTTTAATTTTACCGTACTTGCACAGTTTTGTGCGTTAGTTATGAATCATTTAGCCTAATTTCGCTTTCTTTGAATTCTGTATTATACTTCAATCATTAATTCCTCAGCAACCATCCCTCGCATTAACGTAGACATTGTCCATATAAAAAGACCCCTTTTACCATGTATTTTGGGCTTTTTCCTACGAAATAAATCTTTATCGTTACCTCGTCACCTCACATCCGAAGGACCTGGTCTCCAAACAGGCAATGTGTCCGTTCGATCGGGCGGCAAACATTTGCCCGTGCAAGCGGCCAACAGTGACCTCTACCTTCGGCTCATTGTTTTCACACACTGTGAGCGTAAACGGTACCTGCATGAGATACGACGCAGCGTTTAGGCTGGCTAAGCGTCGACTATCGTGTTATCAACATTTCCCTTCACTGCAAAGCTGGAATGAACCTGCGTGAGGCTACAGTTATCAAGAGTGATGGGGCTTCTCCATGGAAAGTTTGGGTAGTGCGGCAGGCATTAGTCCGTGTTCGCAGGATGTGAAAATGCTTAACATACCTAAGAAAAATGGTTAAAATACCCCATATAAACCTACTCCAGCAGCAAGCGAGCGGCCGACCTTCCCCGCGCAAGCGGCGAGCATTAGAAACCGTGCGGGCGCCCCACGTTAACCGTGCTAACGGCCCTTGACGACCGTACAATCGCACACACCAACGAGCGATTGTAAGTTCGTCGCTGGCCGCCCGCACGGTGCGAGTCCCTGAGTTAGTTGAGCGCTTTCAATGTTCGCGCAATGTGTTCATTCTAGTTATGTCGGAAGAGGCGAAAAGGTGAGCATTGTTTGGCCATTTGTCTTGAGTTTCGCAAAGAAATGATGTTCCGTTCCACCATAATTTTTGCGCGAAAAGTTCTTTAATCGTGCATCCGCGGGTCCCAATCCTTGCTGGGTTTACTTCAATAGGAAAATGCAGAATGTCGGCATCTACGGTGTCGTTTAAGATAATTTCCACTCGGCTTCTCACAAAAATTGGTAAGCTGCTGTTATTTTTTGTGCAATGAAGAGCTACGGTACTGTCTGTCCATAAAAATTTCTTCGAGATGGGCAAATCAAGCTCCTTTGCTAGGTACGTTAGAAGTTTAGATCCTATCATAAAAGCTGCAATCTCAAAACGAGGAGTTGTACAGGTTCTTTGAGCGGTGCTAGTCGAGATTTGGACATTAGTAAAGGATTCTTTAATGGTTTGTTTTTGGTCCTCTGCACGAGATAACCCGAAGCGCAGTAAGCTACTGAAGAGGCGTCGGAGAATACGTGAAGATCGTACTCGTAAAAAGATTCCTTCCAAAACATCTACTATAAGTCGCGAACTTATCATACTGGGATATATCCAGATGGACTGGATCCTTTTCCACTGTTTCTGTTTTTCTGGAGGGATTTCATCGTCCCATGATCGATTTTCTTTCCTAGAGACTGGAGGAAAAGAGCGGCTGGGAAATACAAGCCAAGAGGATCGTAAAATCCAGCCACATAGTTCAATATTTTCCTCTTCGTCCAGAGTTGTTCATCCGGGTCTGTGGTAACGGAAATATGAAACTGTCGTCCGCCAGTACCCAGCGCAGGCCGAGAAGCTTTCGTGTTTGAGGCATCGCGTCCAGTTCTCTCATTCCGATATATTCGTTCAATTTACTTGCGTTAGTGGCAAAGGTTCTGAAATCCATTCCAGCTTTTCGAAAGAGTTCTTTCGATTTTTTGTAAAAGATGATTCCATCTTCAATACTTTTAGTCCCAAAACAACATCGTCAATGGAAGAATTTCGAATGATATTTCGAGACATGTCGATAGTTGAAGATGAGACATGATGATGGATCGTTTCAGTAAGCAAGAATGGCGAACTCGCTAATCCGGAGGGGACACGTGTGAAGCGATGGGTGACTAGGTTTTCTGGACAGGTGTGACCGATGAGGATCTTCCAATAACAGGAATCGAGTGTAATTCCGCAAGTTTTGATTCAGACCAACTGTCGAATAGGCCCCTTTGATGCTGCTAAAAATGAGAAATTTGCACAATCTGGTGCGTAGGAGTACACCGACGAGATTTGTAATAGAGATGGACCTTCGTATAGGAGGTTGTTAAAATTCACCTTGTTTTTTGTCTTAGCCAAATCATCTGAAACGCACCCAATCTTCAATTGTTCGTCGTTCTTTTTCAAGATGCCACGACGAGATAAGTAGTATGACGACTTGTGAAATTCTTCAGTTGTTATCAGTTCGATTATGTGTAACTGCTCCTCAATTAGCGCATTGTATCGAAATATGAGGGATTTCGTTGCGAAATTTTCAGCTCGTTACACAGATGGGCGTAGGCGAGCGAGTAGCTGTTAGGTATGTTTGTAGGATTGGTCTTGAAAGGTAGAGTAACAACACACCTTTTCTCGATGTCATTATAGTGAATTGTGCCATGGAAATGCCTGGTGCAGTTTTCATCATCGCGTTGATTGCTGTGATCGACTGTCCCAATTGATTCGAGCTCCCAAAAGCGATTAACAAGATTGCAGTCTTCTGCCTGCGTAGCACAAGATTACAGGTTCGAATCGTGCCGTGGTCGCCAATTGTTCCGAATTAGTCTTCTTTGGTGTGAACCAATCGCATCAGATGATACGTTCCTTGATACGTATATGATCAGCGAGAGATGTGAAGTTGAAAGTGTCAAGACCGCTTTACCAAATGTTAATGCTATCCTTAAGTGATTTTAAAGCATGAAACGGTCTGCTAATTACTCTCCAATACATTGCGGGACAGTTGTGAATAATAACTGATGACATATTTGATTTGCCGTTCATTTCTTAAACAAAGAGCGGTCTACTTAAGTTTTCAATATGTATAGCTTTGAAGCGCATCTAAAGAGAATCACTAAACAGTTCTGAAAGATTGGTTGATTGTGGAATCACAAACACATTGTCACCTCACCCACTGTGTTAGCACTTAGTACTGTACTCGCAATGCACTATATTACCCTGTTCTTGCTTATTGATAACATATGAACGGAGAACAAATCTCGGATGTTCTCGCTATAATTTCTGAAGCAGAATAGATAGCATATATGTATAATCGTTCGCAGATTGGCAGGCAAGAGCTCGCGCAGCACTCGTCGTTCGTTTGCATAGTTTATTCAAAGTTTTTCTTACAGAGCCGAAAGCATGACCTTTCTGTTACGAAGCTACATATGCCTATTGTTGACTGAAAGAGTGAACTCAAACTTTATGAACTGTAGTCGATTTCATCGCAGATGTTACTTGCGCCGGTAAAAAAAACGTTGGTAAATTACTGATGTGGATGAGTATGGACATATCTTTTCTCGTTTGATGTAATGTCCTCTGAAAGCATATGGCGCCACGTTCCGTTCGGACTTTCTTGAGCAAATGCACTCTAGACAATTTAGCGCAAATTTTCCAAAAGCGCGTATGATGCGGTGTTGTGTGTGAGCGTCCATGAAATCACTTTGGGTATGTCCGGCGATCAAGCGATGAGCGATTTTCAAGCAACGAACGGTCGCCCAGGCAGTCTACTCAGATAATCGCCGGGGGCAGGCGGTCCGCAAACTCGCGCTTTTCTGCAGGCGGTCAGCAGGATTTCGGGGCGTGGCCAAATCTTCAGCGGGCGGTATTTGCGTTTTCTGCAAGCGGGCATCAATACAAAATTTTCTGCAAGCGCTCGTCAAACAATCTCTTTCAGCAAGCGCTGGCCAAACTTTCAGCAGGCGCTCAGACTCTTTTTACGCAGTTTCGGGCGTACGCCGAAAAAAGATGAGACTCTATGTGGCAGAGGTGCCACCGATGGTTTTATTACCCAAGTTTGGGGTACTTTCTTTCAGCGGAAAGTACCTGAGGGTTGTGCAGTCCCTCAGAAAGGACCGTGCGGCTCTCAATAATTTTGCATGTTCTCGCGGGAAATCCGCGAGAATGCGGCCACTGTGCCGCAACCTATGTATAGAAAAACCGCGATAGATCTTCGAGCGTTCGTCTAAAAATTGGCCAAAATTATTCCAAATTTCTGCAAGCGGACCACAAAAAATCAGCGAACTATTTTTCCGGTGCCCGCTTGCTCAAAATTCGCATGGCCGCTTGCCCCCGGCGATTATCTGAGTAGTTGCAACGATTGCAATCGTAACGACGGGGTCGTTGGAGGTATGTCTTAGGCCTTACCAAATTGTAAGCCAGTGGCTCAAGGCAATGAATCGAACGAATTATCTTCTCAAATGCGGGAGAATTATTAGTCTCGGACCTGGACAAAATGAAGCTTTTGCTAACTTCGCGAAGGCGATATTGAAAAGAACAATAGTCAAAATATACGAGGGAAACAGAAATCTATGAGGTAATCCTCAAATGGCCTAATCTGGAGTCTGAAGTCTTATACTCCCTATTGCATACCACTGCACTTTACCAAAGAGGTGGCCCATGCTATCCCAAGACCGCTGAAGCTCATATAGAATTCTAGTCTGAGATTAGAAATCACTGAAAGATGAGTCTCCTTTGTGACACCCATTTCAAAGAAAAGACTCATAACTGTGTCTCTAATCAACATTCTGTGAGCATCACATATATTTTTGTTAGATTTCGAGAAAATTGTCAAAAAGCAAACACTGAAACATTTGGATAATCAAAGTATAATCTCTTAAGCACAGCATGGGTTCCAGAAGGGAAGATCAACTGTAACTTCCATATTCATAAAATGACTGGACTTGTTTTTTACAGGACAATAAGAGCATTGGTGCCATCTACTTTGATTTTACAAAAGCTTTCGACATGTGTCGCA